CCAAATTTACTAAGCTATCGATCAGCAATTTGGTCGACTGTATCATGATTTTTCAAGCGTGTATGATACTATGATGCTTATGATCAGCACTAAATCACTCTGCCAAAGCACGCAAAACACCGTCACCAGAGAATCCCCAATCGATTTGCAAATATTTGCAAACCCATATGGCACGCACTAGTGTAGGCGGCGAAGCCTAGGGGGGAGGCCGTCATGCACATGGACGCAGCGGCGAAGACGGGCTGCGCTGGTCCACCTGCAGTGAGAAGCCACTCCACGTCCAAGGGTTGCCGGCCAGCTCCCTCATCTCGTTCGCCCTCCTCCGCTCTGGATCTGAGGAGGGGGATGGCGGCAGCGGTGGAGGCGATAGGGTGGGATGGGGGTGGGGAGGAGGAGGCGGAGCGGAGCGTGGCGCTGAAGGGCGGCCGAGCAAGAGCGGGGCGCAGCCTCGACGACTGGCGGCGGGGTGGGGTGGCACATCACCGCCGGGATCGGCCGGAGGAGCGAGAGAAGGGCGTAGAGAAGAAGATAAGTGTGGTTGACAGTGGGCCCCACCTTTTTCTTTTATCCTTGTCACTGACATATGGCCCCCTGCTGACTCAGTAAGTCAATAGGGTCAAAGGTGCCACGTAGGACAAAACCACCTCCAAAACCGCCCGGGGAGTTGATTTGCAATGGTTTTCAGAGTTGGGGGATGGGTTATACCCGATTTTGCGGTTGAGGGATGCTATTCATACACGGCCATGAGTTGAGGGAGGAAAAATAGACTTATCCCGGTTGGAATTGAATGGTCTTGTGGGCCGTAGTTGCGGTGATCTAAAGCGTATACTAGCTGCATACAAAGAAAGATTAGATTATGCTGATGATAAACTTGGTAAGCAGGTACAGATATATAGGTAGTTATAAGAACTTGAAAAAAAAAACATATCGGAACATCATGTTGGTTTGTAATGATCCATTTTATGGAGCAACTTACCCCTTCATCATATTCTCTTTATTCGTATTCACCTTTTACCGTTCCATGATCCCCGGGTGTTGCCCTCACCTCTTCCACAACCAAATATCAACGACGTCATCTCCTCAGCATCCTCAGTCACTACCACCACCATCTCTCCCCTTGCAACTCACAATCATGAAGCTCTCTCTTTCCAATCCCAGGTGGTTATTGGGTCCCTCAATCAGGTGCGGTTGCCTTAATCCACCAGGTCTAGTCATCAATCCATCATGGTCACTTCGATCTAGGAGCTGATATCGTCGATCTAGCTAAGTCATGCGTCCTTCTTCATCTATGTCACCAGCCACCTCTCTCCCCTCTCATCCTAGTCCTTTTGGGGCCAGGGCGTTGTGTCTTCTGTAAGGCACATGAAGGTGGGTAAGACCACTTTTGCCACTAAGATGATCGCTCGGCTCTGAGGTGGATACTTAAGGCCACATGCAAGAGTGGAGCGTTGTAAATGCTCTTGGCTTAGGCTTAGTTCGAAACTGAGTTAGGGAGCTTATAAGTTGCATGCAAAATGAGACGCATTGTTAACTAAGTATTATTTTCTCCGTTTCATATTATAAGACATTTTTATCTCTTCATCTCTTGTCTAGATTTACTAACATCCATATACATTTAGACACATATGTGAAGCATATACATGGATCTATGAAAGAATCTATTCAAAACCCAAAACATCTTATAATGTGAAATGGAGGATGAAGTTATTTTGTGAATGCTATGATATCCAACTTTATTAGTAGTACTAAGTTCACCAAAAATGTTTAGTTTTAAGGAAATGGTTTTGTTATTATATTCTGAGGGTTAGATTTGTTTGTACGATAACATGTTGTTTCATTAGAGTTTAAAATGCTTGTGTTTTGTAGCCAGATATTCAAATTGAATTATGCGCTGAGTACGTTATTTCTTCTTTTTTTAAAAAAAGAAACATATAATAGTTCAAGTAACCTACTTCTTATTAACTGTTATATATATGTTTTATTCTTACACAACTTCAATTATTTAGGATGTGTTTGTTTATTGACGATGGAGGGAGATTTTCAGTGTACGCGAAAGGAGAAAGCTAATTAGCACATAATTAGTTAAGTATTATAAAATAAAAATAGATTTATTTGATTATTTTAAAAACTTCTATATATAATTTTTTTTTCATAAAATACTTTGTTTAGTAGTTTGGAAGCATGCTAACAGAAAACGAGGAAGCTGTCGTTTGGAGTTAAAGCTTAGAATAGGCCCTTAGTTAGCGGTGGAAGCAAATTTACAACATCGATACATATCAATATGGAAAAAGTCCATATACCCCCTAAACGTTTATCTTGGAGGCATGTATCATCATGAACTGTTAAAGTGGGTATTAAGTTCCTTGAACTTTCTCATTTGGTCCAAATGACCCTCTAGGGTTTTGCGAAGTGGTTTTGCCCGCACAACATGTGACTCAACATTTTTGTCATGCCAACGCACTCATTGGGCCACGACGCAATATTAAGGAGAACATAAAATTGTCACATATGGCTTAAAAAGAATAGTCAATGAGTAAACATCCGCTCTTGGTATATAACTTTTATTTTATTGGTGGTATAAGCAGTTTGTCTACATGGTCGACTCTCATGTAAGTCAATTCACCAAGATAACTGCAATTCGCCATATCATCAGAACTATCAAAATCCGAAGGTGAGAGCAAGGGATCACCCACCGAATGGACGACCCTGAAGGAGGGGGGAGAGAGGGAGGTAAGAACCATGCTTTTAGAGAAGTGGCGGTCCGAATCCATTCTGACAAAAGAAAATAACAGACTAAACCGTGCCATAAGGGGGGCATTCTCCACATGGAACGATAGCAAGGCCTTCATGTATGAAAACAAAAACAGGGAAAATGTAAAATATATGATTTCTATTTCAAAAGCTTAAGATTTTGGTCAGCAGGAATGCTGATAGTGTTCCTTAGATTTGACGTTGACCTCCATGGCAATCATCGGTTGAGTTCGGTGAAGCCACCAACATATCTACGACTCAACCCCAAACCTCAATTAGTGCCAAATCTGTGGAGGCAGTCGGAGGGATTGCTGGCAGGTCAAGCGGGAATCATGTTTGAAGAGGCCCTTGGGTGCAATCATCGCAGCAATGCCATGGGCCCCCGATGATTGTATCCACTACTGTTGTATCAGATAGTATGAGAGTTTGCTTCCACCATTCAATCTCTTTACCTTCTTTCAGAAATATGGTCCTTAATGTTTGCTGTTGTTAATTTTTTGCATGGTGATGTTTTAGGGAATGTTCTTCGCTTCCAATGTACACTGCTTAATATACAATAAAATTTTATGAGTTAAAAAGAAGAGTTATTAGATCAAATAAGGTAGTTCAAGAGTCAATGGTCTAGATAATTGCCAAAAGAAAGCCCAAAAATACATCCCAAAATTATATTCTTGAATCCGTAATCAGATTTTTAGGTGTGAATAGATTCATCCCTGTAAGAAGATAAATAAATGTTAACTCCCAGTAATAAAAAAATAGGTCCATCCCATACCAAGAGAATCATTGGTTCACTGTCCTCCTCGCGTATGGTGTGATCGGTGGCCTCTTTCCGTGCGTTGCGAGTCCCTGATCCCCTCCTGCACATGTCTAACACCCTTAGATCGACGGATTGGGAGTGAGAAACCACATCCAGCTTGTGAAGAGCGAGAAATATGGAGTTGCAAATTAAATTTTTGCATATCTGTAGAGGGGAACTGTTGGAGCCGATTTTTCAAAAAAAAAAAGGAAATCCAAAATGTTGGGATTGGTTTCATTTTGGGGGTATGCTCATATAAAACTCTAGGGTGTAAGCTCATGGGGTTATTTGGATTTCTTCCTGTCAATATCCAAGTTTCAGCTTGTATGGCAACGATCAGGAAGGGCATGAAAAATAACTATGGAAGTTGACAAAGAGAATTAATATCAGAATTTAATTTTTAGTCCCATGGTTTGTTTGCCAAGAGAATGAAAGGGGATTGGAAGTTTTAGAGGAGTGAGTTATGGGAGTTTCATTTTTTTATTCCCAGTCTTTTATTTGGTAGTAGAGATGAGAATCATGGGTAGTATGGATGATAATTGAATTTTAAGTGATGATGTAAAGCTCAGATTTATCTCGTCATACTTAGAAAAGAAATTCCCTAGAAATTACATGCCCTTACCCAATTGGGAGTTTGCTCTTTAAACTCCTTCTCAAATCCCTCACAAGCTTCCACATCCACCAACCAAACAGTAGGTTGTACCTCTCAAAGTTCCATCCCTGTTAACAATTCCCCCTAACCAAACATGCTGTCAATTCCTTATTTAGTTGCTAGAGAGAAATAATAGGGGATGTTTAAAAGGGAATTTATGTTATTTGTTCGGTTGTGGGTTTTGAGATAAGAAATTATTATCATAATTTATGATGAACGGTTGGGATGGAATCGATGGGAGTTCGATCAATTTCCCATTTCAATCTCTCTCAAATTCCCATGTTCTTCAAAGATTAAAATGCTCTAATCTCCTATGCTTCCATTAGCATTCTCAAACTCCCCCAAACCAAATGTAACCAAAATAACACGCGAAAAGGATTTTCACCACCTGTCTGGAAAGGGGAACATATCTTCCCGTGCACACCAATTAGAAAGTATCACGAAAAATTCTACAAAATATATATTTTTTACACATATTTCATATTCAAATTCATTATATTTTAGCCGTATCAACAAAATTCTAATAGTTTTAAGGGTAAAATTCTATCAGAATTTTGTCGTTTTTGCTACGGCTAAAATATAATAAATTTGAAGATAAGATTTCACATGTAGGTGTAATACTATTGAAAGTATGCGTCCAATTTATTTTAGAATTTTATTTGATAGTTCGCATACATGGGAAGCCTATGTGTCCATAGGATATGGACCGTTGAGACGGATACGTAACCACACGAGGGAAACGTACTCGTGGAATACGCCGTCAACCGAACCAAGCCTCTCTGTCCTTCCCCTTCCCCTCGACTCTTTCTCTCTCGCTGCTTCATCCCCCGCTTCTTCCCTCCATCTCCCCGTTTCAAACCCTAGGGCACGTCCTCCACCCCCGAAACCCTAACCCTAGCTCCCCAATCCGCCCGTTCCGGCCACCCCACCGCCCCGGAATCCCCTCTCCGCCATCTCCGCCGCCTCCTCCGCTCCCGCCCGCTCCCCGCGCCGCCCGCGGCCGTGCCCTCGACCACCCCTCACCCCCTCGCCCACGGGGTTCGGCGTAGTGCGGGGGGCTCGTCCCGCGCGGGCGCTCTCCCGTGCCCCCCGCGGGAAGGGAAGGCTCTCCATTGAGGCCTCGCTGATGAAGTTGCGGCCATGAGTAGGCTCTCCTTCAGGCCGCGCCCGCTCGACATTCACAAGAAGCTCCCCATCGTCAAGTCCGCGCGTGAGCTTGAGGACGATGAGACCACGCTAGCGCTTCGGGCTGCGCCGCCGGTGCTGCGGCACTCCCAGCCGGAGCCCGCGGCTGATGGCGAGGTAATGCACGGAGTGTTGCGTTATCTTTCTTTGCTGTTTTGGTGGAGTGGTTCACTGCCAGTACTCCACAATTGAGTTGCTTGCTAATTCATTTTTGTGCGCAGAAATGGAATAATTGGGGGTGCTGGTTAATAAATTTGATCAGCCTGCTAATCATGGACGATTTGAAAGTTGTTTGTTAAAATCAGCTGATAATGTTATGCAAAGTGAAAACTTTTTTTTTTGTGTGTTTGAGCTATCTTTTCTTATAAAATGTGGTCTTTTTTTTTTGGTGGGGGGGGGGGGTTGGGGGGTTGTAGTTATTAAATAGTTCAGCTTGCTAATCATTGACAATTTGAAAGTTGTTTGTTAAAACTGCTGATAATGCTATGCAAAGTGCAAACCTTTTCTTTTTGTTTCGGACACATGCAAAGCACAAACAGTATAAGCCCCAAAATCCAGAGGTTGCTGTTTTGTTTGACCTAATATTAAATTTGTATCATTAGTTTTAAGATTCAAGACATGTTTAGCATCCATAAGCTGCAAGCCAGCCATTATGTTTATATCTTGACCTTATGTGAGCTGAGCCACTATTTCTGCCATGATATTTTTTTGGTGAATCTAATTTTAAATTCCTAGCAGAGTTTATTAATTATAATGAGAAATTTTATAATAGATGCTGCACTAAAAAAATAAGATCAGAATAAACTAGTTGGTTGGCCATAGTTCAGTTTGCTTGATGACAGGCATGATCATAATATGATATCCTTATTTTACAGTTTGGCAGATATAAACACTTCTTTTCTTTGCAGGCACATCCAACATCCAGCAAGAAGAATGTGCAAGAAATACCTACACCACAGTATGATGATGTTGATACATACGAAAGGGACTATACTCGTACCTTTGCACAGCCAACATCCTACATACGTGCCAGAGGAGGTTTATTTCTTGTTACCGCAATAATTGAAATGGAAATAAAAATTGAATATATCTTCAGTGGTTGCATTTCTTAGAGAAATTACTGCTTGCAGCCAGGGCTGAGATTGGTGAGTTTGTTGAATATGATTTGGACAATGAAGATGAAGATTGGCTTGAAGACTATAACAATGAGCGGAAAAATCTGAACCCTGAAAAGTAAGGAATAAATTGCTCATCAAAATAAGTTATGAGAGTGGCAATCTTATACTTAAATACAGTGTACACCATCTTTTCTACCATCCACTAATCGTCCTACAAATGGGAGTGGTGAGGGAGAGAATGTTGGGTGGAAAGAAAATGTCAAGTGATGACAAAGTTTTTTTTTTTTTGTAACCAAAAGTTGCATGTCATTTCTATACCATGCCACACATGCCAATCATTCTCTCTAGTATATAGTAAAATAATCTTGACATGAAAATAATTGCCTTATATCATTTGTAGTAACTGAATAGAAGGTATTATTTGCTACATTACTAATAAGAATACACATTACAGGTTGGAGGTCCTCCTATTCAAACTGGAAACATTGGACCACAAAGCTCGAGAAAGAGCAGGCATCATAACCCCCACCTTTTTAGGACCAATACCAGTTATTCTGCAGCTTGATTCTGCCATGGAGGTAATATTTCATAGAGAAATTTCATGGTCACTTGTAGTTTGCAGTTCTTGGTTGAGTTGGCGAGTTTCTTGTTTATCAGTTTGATTTGAGTCACATGACTTCCAAAAACATTTGAACTCTTCACCAATTACCATCAAGGCACAAAAAGGGATAAAAAGGTATATGTGCTGTGTCATTGAAAAGTAAAAGGAACAATTGATAGCACTCAGAATGGAGCAACACAAGAGTGAGTAGCATATAAATTACAATAGAGTTTGTTAAATCTGGAACAATGTAAAAGTTTAGTTCAATCAGTAGACTAAATATTTTCTTGTTATCAATCTGCCTACCTCTTCATAAAGTACACACTTTTCATTTCTGAATGTTTTGTGATTTTCTATTATCTTTTCCAAATAAACAAATCATTTTCTTCTTCTTTTAATGCCATGACAGCTTTATTCTTTTTTACCCATGCGACTCCAGATGTATTTGTCTTTTGTAGAGTCGCCAACAGAAGTGGCTTAATTTATACCTTCCTGAAAGATGCATTAAGAATTTAGAGAAGAAGTGGACTTGACAGTAAAAGTCTCTAAGATGTACTCCCTCCATTCCAAAATATAAGGACTTCAAGCCTTTTTTTTGGAGATATTAATGATGAAGGGAAAACACTATGATGCCCCTCATTAAATGAGGGTAGTTGGGGGTAAGGTTGGGTGAGAATTACATGAGGGGTGGTTGATGCAGGGAAGTCCATAGTACTTTAGAAATCCTTATATTTGTGGACAAAGTTCAAACACTAGAAGTCCTTATATTTGGGATGGAGGAATAGATACAGAAGGTCTGTAGAAGGATGCTTTTGTTAGATTTGATGATTTTTCGTTCCTTTTGGAGCCTACATCTTTAGTACTTTCTATCTTACCAGATCTCCTACCATAGAACGTACTAGAGATGTAGTCTCAAAACACCTGAACAGAGCTTATCAGATAAGCAGATCTGCTAATGTAGTAAGTACTAGAGATGTAACAAATTGATAATTAACTAACCGTAGAAAAAAAAAGGGGAATATATTCTACACCAATCTGGTCAGGTCTGGGGAGAGGACCTTTCCAATTGGAATAAACCTTGCTCTAGAAGGATGTGACTTTAAGGCCTTCCTATTTTTTTTTTGTGCATCACACCTGTTTGGAGAACCGGGTTGGTTAATCAGAATTGTCACTGCTGATGTTACTGCTCTATTAGCTAGCAGGTATGGCTTCGGGTATTCAAGATTCACAAAACATATATTACTGTGCTGGTGTTATCTATTACTTGAAATTGGAATGGAATCTCTACTATATAGAAGAACCTAGAGGTGGTGGATAATCTGCCATCACTTAGAGTTGTTGGGATCTTCTAAGGCTGGATAAATATATCTTTGTGTGTGTGGCTTGGTTTATTATTGGATGTTTGCTTGCAAATTATGTTTGACAAATACAATTTCCAAGTCAAGAAATTTAGATATATATTTTGAAATACATTGCAAGGCATGGATACTTTGCTAGTTATCTATAATTTGCTCTTTACAAGGTGTTTCTTTATCCAGGCTTTGCAGTACTTGTCTGTTCGTTATGCTGTGTTCCAGGCTGTATATAACTACTGGAAATCAAAGGTATATTCCATCTTTAGAACATGGTATATGTTTTTGATTCTTATCATATGACATGTGCATCTTCCTTTTCTAGACAACATTATGAACTGTCTCTTTCTACAGGATAACATGTTATATTTTTTCAAAACCAAATTTGAGATTGTTCTGTTGTCATCAATAGCAATATGTTTTTTTTGATATATATGAATATTATTCATTGTATGTACTGATTCGTTTTTCCTTTATCAGAGAGAGCGGTGGCAAAAGCCTATTTTGCGACGTTTGCAGGTTAGCTTAGGTCCTTGTATTGTCCTTTCTATCTTTATGTTTCACACACTTCTTATTGATGTACAGATTTAGATCTGAGCTTATCGTTGTGCACAATATTTGGTCTGTGTTTGTTATTGCAGTTACTTTTTAAATATAATATGAACTTTTTTTGTCAACTACTGTAGTATGTTTGTAGATATTATCTAAGCTCTTTTTAAAGCAGTAGGCGCAAAATACAATCAATTTTACTGAATTGACAGATTTTGTGACTACAAGTTTTGAAAAGATCAAAGTGGTTCTCTAGAGTAAAATCCCTTTTGCTGTTGTTGATGGGTTCCTTCAAAGTTTGAAGAGCAACCTACCAGCCCAATCTGGACCAAATCATAATAACTAGGCTGCTAACTAGGTCGGGCTGTGTTAGTGCTGCTGCACATGGTCGAAACAGCAGGCTGTGTGAGGTGCAGGGTTGACCTAACTAAACCATCAGGCTTGTCAAAGTTCCATTTCCCAGTCTCCCATCTTGCTAACCAGATCTCTTCCATACAAGGATAAGTCACGGGACATTTGCTACTCTACCAAGGAAGCCTCTAGTGGATGATTCCAGTAGGGATAGTGACTTTTATGGTGACTGGAAAGCTTTCTAGCAGGAAGCTTGGACGGCAGATGGCGGTTTTGTTGACAGTAATTATCTTCAACTTGGAAGGCTTCCCCTTCTCCATCTTAACAGGTCCTTTCCAACAGATTCCTCATGGCTTTCACCAATCATGGAGGATTCAAGATCTTCTGTGACCACTGGGTTCAGTTTCTGTTTTTCTCCTCGCCAGGAGAAATGGAAAGCTTTTGGGACGATGGACTACTTTTAAAATTTTTTTCCTTTAGTATAGTGAAAAATATGATAAACTGTACCATAAAAAAAATGAAGGGACAATTGCTTATTTAACCCCTTTTCAGAGCCTAACTACCAATGTAACCCTACCTTTTCTAGTTAGTTCATTTGACCCCACTTTTCAATAACAAAGGTACCGTCTTACCCTATTTCCATTACACCGTTAGGGTTATATATATTTAGTAAAAAGAAAAAAAAATCAAATTACTATTCAAACTGACCAAAATACCCTTGAGGACCCAACCCTATCCATTCACTCCCAACCTCATCCCTCTCGGCTGGCACTAGGTGAGGAGGCCGCGACGGCAGTGGTGTGCAGAGAAAGGGAGCAGCGCGCTGGTCTATCTGCCATAACAGGGTCAAAATAAGCAAGGGCAAAAGGGACTATTTGCCCTTAGTTAACACTGTTATCTTGACTTCACAGAGTAGGGTCAATCTTCATCTTCGATTTTGAAAAACGGGGTCAAATAAGCAAACTAGAAAAAGTAGGGTCAGATTGGTAGTTAGACTTCAAAACAGGGTCAAATGAGCAATTGCCCCAAAAATGATAGTAGGGCCTGCAAGGTGCTCCTAGCATCATGGCTTATGCTTATAATATGTTTGCATTTTCAAATGAACAAACTGGGGACAAAGGTCTACAAAAATGAAAGAAAGTAATTGGATAAACATGTGGTGTTTGTTTATTATTACTCAAGTGCTTCTCTGCCCAATGACAGGTCTTAGTTTCAAGAATTTCGTTAGTTGCGGAAAAGTTCAAAAGCAAGTTAAATTCACTATTTATGAGTTGGCTCACATTCTTGAGTTATTATTCTGTTTCATATTTCATTAAAGAAAAAAAAAAGTCCATTTTACTCCCCCGAACTATTGCATTTTATCACCTAAGCCCCTAAACTAGGTTTTGGCTCATTTGAACCCCCACCCCAAACTAGAAACTAGAAACTAGTTTGGGGGAGTAAAATGGACTTTTTCTTTCATTAACTGTGGTCAGGTAGAAAATTACCACAAAACTACCGCTGTTTATATGTTTGCTTTCTTGATCACACAACTGTTTAGAGTAACTGTTTTTTTCTTCTTTTGGTGAAGCCGCCTCCGCCAGTTAATGACACAAATCCATACAATGTGTTCAGACCAAGGGAGAAGGCTTATCGTCTTCACACAAGGAGGGTGAGTCACAGGAAACTAGTTTGACAATAGCTACTCCTGGACAATTTTGAGTCATCAAGAAAGCACAGGAGTGATAATATCTTCGTGTGCCTATATTTCTTTGTGTACTTATGTTCATTTATTTTTTCAGATGCAAAGACGAGAAAATAGTGTCCAATCATTCGACAAACTCCGTGTGGTAAGTGTAACAGCAATAGTTGGGTTTTCAAGGAGCAGCCGCTATAATTATGGAAATATGCATATGTTTGGTTTTTGGAATTGCGTATGTATAGGCATTTCTTCTTTATCCAAGGATTTTATGGCATGTTGTTATCCTTTTCTTGTTGAAGTCTCTGACTTGTGCATCTTTCTAGATAGAGTAAATTTTACAACATTACAGCTATTTGACAGTTGTCAGAAAAATATAAATTTAAAACACAATGTTGCAGAACTACATACTAACATTAATTTGTCACTATGGCTTTAGTTATTGCAAACTATAATTTTAAATGTTCCATCAGTACAATAGTGCCAGAAACGTAAATTCACAAATCTATAGTTTTGTGATAAATTCATTGTTAAATCTGCTGTTATGTTATAGTATTGTTTAAATATGTATTCTTGTGATATGGTGGGCTTAAATACGTTGTTTTCAATAGTTTTGTCAAAACATATGTAGTTTTTTGAACTCTTTAGATATTTTCCTTTTTGGACACAAATATACACAGGCTTGATTGAAACTATGGTTCTAATTATTACACAAGTATTTTGACATTGTCTTAGCTGTATTTGTTGTTCTCTATTTTTCATTGGAAAGGATGAATACTTGTGTTGGGTCCCGCAGACCAGGATAGCCTCAGATCAAAACCTAAATGTGCCAGGGGTTGATCATATTATCTTAACATCATATTTCTATATTTCTTAATTGTATTTCTAGAGAAGATCCATATTTGGTTGACTATCACTAGCTTAGACTGCAAATACATTCAAGCAATCAAGCTTATCCTTAAATATCGAATGTTTTGCTGTCCTCTTGAATAGCAAACTTCTTGACTGTCAAGAAAGCAGAGAAGGACCAATTATTGATAACTCTTAATGTCTTGATATGAATAGTGCAGTATGTTTGCCTCTCTGTTTTTTTGCTTGTCATGGTGCCTTTGTGTTCTTGTGTAGTGCACGATCTTAATCATAACCATCATATTTTATGTTCTGTAGTGCTTGCAACATGGTGTGTATCTGAAATATGCACTTGTTGTCTATGTACACTGATATTTAAATTTGCTTATTTTTATGTTTTAAAACCCCAATACAGGTCCGGCGCAATCTAGAGCAGGCTAAGGCACTAATGGGCGCATTGATTAAGGTATGCAAATGCATTAAATAATGCCAATTTTGGCATGAGAAATACTAAACCGTGCACTCATCCTCTTCGCAGAGGGAAGAGAGAAAACGTGAGACTATGGAGTGTGAGGTTCACCTTCGACGTATCCAGATGAGATACAAGGTAGATAATGCTTTATTAAACTATATGAAATGCCTTCTGTCCTTTGGTCCTTTCTACCATTTAATGCACTAGCAATTAATTTGAATTTACATGTTGAAGAATAACAAACAAAATGAAAGTTCTGGTAGGTGTGTAACAGGATGTTGCTAGTAAGTATTGGTTGATTTTGGAAAGAAAAATGCTAATTTATGACTTACGTTTTCATCACATGATCTCATACATTTCCGAGCATAACTCCCTGCTTAGTCTAAAAAGAGTGATACATGGCTTCGGCATCTAAGTGTAGAAGTGCAATTTTGCAAGTGTTTAATTTTCATTACTCTTAATATGTAGGTTCCCTCGTTTTTTCTGCAGTAGATTAGTGTACATATTTAAGAAACGAACAAAATGAAGATGATTGCTTGTGAGTATGATAGTGCATAATGCCCTTATGTGTTCAAGTAGTAGATGGATAATTCATTGTGGCTACACGATGTTGATTTTATTCTTGTTTTTCATCACATGCAAATCTCCAGATTCTGTCTTGTTGGAAAGCACAAAGAGGAACTTGCCACTTCCTCACAAACATGTCACACCAAAATCCACATCACTGACACAGAGTGACATACTTGAATTACAATGTAGTGGCAAATCCTGAAAGCTCCCATCAGATTATGTGTTCTAGCTAAATAAGTTTATTCTTTGATGTGATCTGTATGGCCCGGGATTTGTTGCACATCTTAAAGTTTATTATTTCTAGGGAGTATTTGTAAACCTTTTTGGTACGGCCTATATGCTTGGGAAAAAAATTCCTATAAGACTAGGGGCCATTTTGGATTGATGCCAACATGTGCCATAACAATTTATTGGTAGTTTGAATAGTACTAGTGAATGTTTGTACTAAATCCAAATTGTTGGTAAGGCCTTTGAACAATTTGGCATTATTCTCTAGAACTTTCTTATCTGTATCATCAAATTTTGGCTTCACATTGGTAACAATCCAAACATGTGTAATACTTACCAAGATTTTGGCACTACCAAATATTTAGAATCTTCTCAAAGTGTGACACGGGCCATAATTACTGTCTAAAAGCATATAGTTTTGTAGCTGAGTCTCATAGGATTTTTTCCCCAAATGCTTTACTTCTTTCTGTAAAACAGATAAAATTTAAGAGGCAAAATTATCTCCTATGATTAACAATTTTATTCCTTGTTCAGCATGAGGCACAGCTTATTGATGATGGGATTGCTCTATCAGGCCTCCAGCAAGCTGGATCAAGTGAAGATGATTATGCAGATTCAGATGATACGGCCAACGAGCAACCATATGTACGATCGGTTGCTTTTCATCCTAGATTCCCTGATAATAAGCTATCAGCTGTTCCGCCATTGCGTTTGAAGCGCGAGCGTGAGCTAAAAAGAAGACCCCACCAGAATGGCTGGTTGTTCAAAAGGGTATGCTTTTTTTTGGTAATTCTTTTTTAACATAAAATCTTCTCTGAAGTAGTACTGCCCTCCCATGAATAAATGAGCTACCTTACCAATTTAGGTCTAAATGATGGGCAAAAAATCATTAATACCAATATGGCAATATTCTTTGTTCTTGCACAACTCCAATCGATTTTTGCAATGAGAGGACGTAGAATTTACCACTGTTTTGCAATATGGGTGTGTACGATTGCCACCCCCCCCCCCCAACACCCCACACAACATATACTAAGTGTAACCAGCACTTCTACTGATGAGTATACAGTCACTTCTTTTGGAGCTATTGAAGGCACAAAGATAACTAACCAATACATTCCTAGTCAACTCTTCCCAATAGGGATGAAAATGGTAGCAGAAATTCCTGATCCACCAACTACTGTTTCCTTATTCTACCAACTGAATCGATCGGAATAAAAATTCGTTAGAACTGGAACCAGAAACAGTGAGGCTAATCGTAATTGGTGGTGGAAATGATTTTGCTCTTTGGTGACCATTTCCTTGATTTACCAAATTCATATGGAGAACATTGCCAATAATTACACTGGCCTAACAGTGAAAAGCCTGTACACAGCGACTAGGCCATGCCCTGTTAAACCCAGCAACCGGCACAACCTTCTTGGAATTTGCACGGCTTTGCTTGGTAAATTCCACAGAAATACCTATCGGACTAGGGTTGGAACCCACTATCTACTGCCAGCCCATGCATGGGGCAAACCAACAGGCTATCTGCTTGTAGTTATGGACATTTTCTTTTAGACATATTATATGTCTGCTACCTTTTGAGTATTTGTTTAGTATAGCAAACATAATAAGGGTGCGGTTTAGTTACAGGAAAGCAAGATTAATGGGAAACTTAACATCCCCTGTAATCCTTAGTGTGAGAATTAGATACTGGGAATGTAACATTATAGCATGCACATGTGAGAAAGAAAATGATAAGATTCTGCTAGGGGATGGGGAGTAATCCAAGCTACCTGTTTCAAAAGGGATCCTAATACCACATATTACCAGAATCTTAGTTGTATTAGAATCCTATATTCTTAATTAACATTCCAGGTGATTCAACTAAACATGGGAATCAACTAGGATTACCCCATGATTACTGGGAATCCAAGTAACATCCTTACAACTAAATGCACCTTAAGTCATAATTATAAAATGATACATGTGGTTGTATGAATTTATTCCATAATATCCGTGGCTATGAGTTATATATAGTGTGTATATGAATTTATCTTATTAGTTGCTCGGTCAACCGCATGAAATAGCAAATTATGACTTGGTGTTTCTGGTCTAAATTACCAGTTCGAGCAGCCAGCATGTTTCTGCTCTAATGATTCCGCCTCTAATACTCTGATAGTTCAAATATTCATTTGTTACCATTTTCAATTCTCATAAAAATATGGTTCAGAAAACCTTTTGAGCATTTTCCTATCTATTTTGACTTCTTTCACCCCTAATTCCCAAATTTGTCTGAAAGAACAGCCAGAAATTGATGGGCTTGCTAGGCACAATTTCTGTTGCTCTAGATAGTTGTTGGATAGTGAAACTAAAATTTAGGTTCACATGGCAACTCATCTAATTTTTTATTTGTCATGTTTATATTTGGATCATGATTTAACAGGTTCCTGAAATGCGGGATCCTGAGGAGCCAGTAATGCTATTTACAAGACCAATTGACCCTGATAAGCTGAAGATGGCTGGTATCAGGCCACCACTAGATCCACCTATTGATAGTGGTACTACTGCTCCACCATTCCGGTGGCAAGCTAGAATTGGACGGGGAGGTCGCATCATCTTTGACCGCTGGAATCCTTTTCTTCAAGTCCCGGTCGGCCAGGAAACCAATCATAGACCCTCAATGCCAGAAGGATGAAGCAAAGGCTTTTGCTGTCACATATATCTCTGTTCAGCTGGTGAGAGATTAACAAGTGGAAGAGCTGTTTCTCCATGATCCAGTTGGCCCTCGGAGCTCCGAGCTCTCCTTTTGATGTGGCAGGAAATTCTAAGGTTTATTTATCTGATGAAAGAAAGACAGCCATGCTTCTCTCCTGGATTTGCTGCTGATGCTGCTTGAGGGAACACGATTGAAAGATGAGAATGGAGTCATGGATTGGCTTTCCTGGTGCTAACATATTTTCATCAGTTCCTCATCTCTTTGCAGCTGTTGTACAATTGGTGGCGCTGTACATGGGAAAAAAGGGTAAGAAATCTGTTTACCCGGTTTTTTGTCTGACCTCTTACTTGTAGAGGCAGTATCAGATGTTGCAATGATTTTGACAACTATTTATTGGGAAGGGAAAAATCCTTCTCATTGATACATCTGCATGTTGCTCGCCCACATGGTGATTCATCACCCTAGTGCAGTTCTGCATATAATCAAACTTGTAACTGCATGCTTTGTTGTTGCACAGTGGTAGTTAATGAGAAAATGTTGTCTGTTTCTCTAAATTGCTATTATCTCGTTTGCTCTTTTTAATGGACTGTCATAATCATAACTTGTGAGCTCATGGGGTTATAGAAAGAGTGCATCTGATGTGTAGAAAACAACGGAAACTAAAAGGGGTAAAAAAGGTCAAAGATGTATAAATCTTTCCAGGAAGTTTGAATGATCAGGAATATATCACAAATTTCGGGAGTAAATTTCAAAATGTGTAACCCATACACGAGATAATTGTGACCCACCCATATGGACTTATTTATGGAGGTTACATGCCCCGCTCGTTTTTTCCCCATAAAAACACTCTGCACTCGGAGTAATCAACGGTCAACAGTAAGATATGATTTTATCGAGGAAATAGAGTAGAGTTGAAGTGCCCACTTTGTTATATTATGGGCATGTTTGGTACAGCTCAACTCCTAAGTTTAGCTCTAGGAGTTAGGTCTGGAGTGGAGTTGTGGAGCTGTCTAAGCCCAGCTCCACAACTCTAGTTCATTTTGTGAGAGAACTCCACCCAGCTCCACTTCTAGTTTTGGTGGAGCTGAAACTGTTTAGCTGAGCTCCAGCTCCACTCCCGGTGGAGCTGGAGCTGGAGCTGTGCCAAACAGGCCCTATAACTCACTTTAATCTTGTCCAAGATTAAATTTATAGAAAAACATTGCAATATTTTTAACATAAAATAAAGATACTATAAAAACATATTCAATGATAATAAATTTAATGAAACAAATTGGGTGTTGTGGAATAGTACATTTTTCTAAAAAAAAGTTTGACTGAGGGCAAAGTCACTTTAACTTTGCGTCAATCCTACTCATGTTTGATTAAGTTTATATAAAAAATTAATAACATTTTTAACATAAAATAAAAAAACATACTTGATGACAAATTTAATGAAACTAATTTGATGTTGTGCATATTAGTACATTTTTCTACAAATTTGTTTAACTTAGGATAAACTCAGTAATATAAAATAGAGGGAATAGAAAAAAAAAAGCTCTCCAGCAGCAATTAGCATGCACTTTGCTCCATTATTCTTATACTTGTATAACATATGATTAGAGTGTGATGGTCTTATCGTAATCATGATTGATAAATACTGGTATTGCACATGGAATCTGCACTATTCATAATAGAACAATATCTTAGTGTTCAAAGAAGTATTATGGAGAAAGAACCATCTATGTGTAAAGTTGACGGAGCTCGTGGCTCCTCACCGGGAGACCGCGCAGGCCCCCCTTTGCCAGTTCGGCCGGGGGCTTAGGGTGAAATCTCAAGCTCTCACTCTCTCTGTATGTGGAAATATCGTATGCCAGCCAGAAAACACGAGACACCGACGATCTATACAGGTTCGGGCCGCTGAGAAGCGTAATACCCTACTCCTGTGTTTTGGTGGATCTGCGTATGAATGAGCTACAAGTTTCAGCTGACTTCTCCCCCGTTCTAAGCTCATAATCTGGGAAAGAATCAACCCCCCTCTCTCTATGGGCAAGGTCCTCCTTTTATACTTCAAGGGGATACCACATGCACCCTTCTCTTTCCAAACTGGACTGTTCTTTTTCTCTTGAATGGGCGGAGATCAGCACGGTTGCTGTCCGAATGACGCTCCGATGGGACAGCCCACACCTACCTCCACTTCCGCCGGGGGTGAGCGCGTCGTGGGAACATGGCTGTGCGCTGACGATATGGTCAGTGTCAGACCGGTCACAAATCGGTCGTTCTTGTCCACCGCGTGTAATCTTGGCAACGTGCATGTTTGCCCTTCTTCACACAACATCTTGCCTGTAATGGTTAAGATGAAGCCTGGCATATATCGACCGGGTCTAACGTGTCATCTCTAAGAGATAACACGCTTAACGCCGGCTTGAGACGAGTGACTAGAGGCTTTCGTCTTGACGGGATGGGGCATGGCGTGTGTCAGACCGCCAGTCGCCACCTAACCCGTGATCTGACCGGTCTGTGACTGGTCACAGACCGGATAAAGGGACGCGCCGTGCTGCACTGCATGCAGCGTGACACGCTTGACCAGACTGCAATAAATGCTGTTAGGTGAGCACAGCTGTGCTCACTTATCCCATATACGTGGCGCAGACTTCCTAAAGGGGGTCGGGGTGCCCCGGCCCTCGGGGCCAGGGCAAGCGCAACCCGACCCCCCCCCCCTCGGGGGAAATCAGGAGGAGGGCGGACACCTCACCCTCGGGCCCGACGTCCCCGAAGGTGCCAGGCCACGTGGGCGATTGTGTCTGCCTCAAGCCTCTAGTCATGATACTCCCGGTCCCATATCACCGACAGTAGCCCCCGGCGTTATGCCAGAGCAATTTCCCTTCCCAAGGGAAGCGGTCAGGTGTGACGCCACTCCTAAAGCCTGGTGACAGGTGGGACCGGTCTGCATAGTTGGGCAAAATCCCCAACGGTCCCAGTCCATGCACATTGGTATTGGTAACTTTGGTTGTCCATAATGGGCGGTCTATTCAAGACTGCCACATCACTTGAGCAGCGCGCGAATCTGGGTGAGCAGATTTGTCTCGCCCGGAGATACGGTAACGCCGCTTCGGTTGGCGAGCGTAATTAACGCGCGCACGATACAATCCGTTTCGATTGCCACAACCGCATATCCACTTCAAGCGCCGTAAGCGGGCGAATGGGATTAGTGGAAGCGTGGGCACGGGAAACGAGGGAGCAAGATAGCGAGATACGAGGGAGCGAGGTAGTGGGCGCGAGAAACGAGGAGCCAGGCCCAGCGATGGCAAGGGTATAAAAGCATCGAGAAAAGGATTTGCTCCCTTCCTTTCGCCTTTGTTCCTCTTGCCTTCGCTGCCTGAGCTCTAACTCTTTCTCTACCACGCCCTACTTTCGCCACACGCGCTCGTTCCCAATCATCTCTTCCTCCACCGCCATGGCACGGGGCTCTGCTCTGCTCGACGGCAGTGTACTGCCGCCTTCCCGCATCGTGAATGAGAGGCACGCCGGACTGCCGCGCCGCTTCATGCCGGAGTCCGCCACCGGTCGGGAGATTGTGATGCTGGGCGAGGGGCGCCCGGCACCAGACTACCCGGGGCGGTCCATCTTCTTCCTCCCCTTCGCAATGGCTGGGCTGGTCCCGCCATTTTCTCATTTCTTCATGGATGTCCTGGAGTTCTACGATCTCCAGATGGCGCACCTCACCCCCAATGCGGTGATGACATTGGCCATCTTCGCACACCTGTGCGAGATGTTCATTGGGGTGCGCCCCTCTCTTCAGCTGTTCCGGTGGTTCTTCACCGTGCAGTCGGTGTCACCGCCATCGGTGGTTGGCGGCTGCTACTTCCAGCCGCGGGGGCCGGTGTTGAACCGCTACATCCCCTGCGTCCTCCGCAAGAAGTGGGACGACTGGAAGAGCGACTGGTTCTACACCCCCCTCGCCGACGAAGCGCGCCTCCGACTTCCGAGCCAGCCCCCGGCGCAGGTCTCCAGCTGGCGGGCGCCGGTAGATCTGGGGGAGGAGTACGACGCCGTCCTCGACCGCCTGGCGGGCCTGCGATCCCAGGGGCTCACCGGGGCCATGGTGTACGGCGATTACCTCCGTCGGCGGATTGCGCCGCTCCAACGGCGCGCCCGGAGCGCCTGGGAGTACACTGGGCCTGAAGACTACATGCGGACCCACCAGGGAGCCAGATGGGATTGGGCTCCTGAGGACTTCAAGATCGTAGTCCAAAGGGTGCTGAATCTTAGCTCCGCGGAGGCGTCTCGCCTTCCTCAGGAGATCCTCCCCCTCTGCATCGATCCCGACCGCGTCTCCATTCTAACCATTATGCTGGGGGTCGGGGCCTCAGAGGAGAGAGCCCCTAAGGGCCACGACGGCGCGGGCGAGAGCCGCCCGGGGAAAAAATCTGCCCCAGGAGGGGGTCGTGCTTCTGGGCCCCGCGTCGGGGGCTCGGGGAGCAGCCGCCCTGCCGACGCCCCGGGGAAGAGGAAGCTGGGAGGAACACCTCCCCCATCTCCTCCCCGAGGGGGCGGGGCAGTGCGTACCAGCGGTCGGCGCCCGGAGGGGGCTGCGCCGACGTCACAGCCCGAGGGGGAGCGCAAGAAGAAGCGGCTCCGCAAGATGGGGGAGACGGAACCAGCCCGGGGAAACCTAATTTCCCCTCCAAGGTGGTCATTCAACCGACCCCCTCGCAGGTTCGTCTCATTCTCATTGCGACCACCTTTCTCCCAAAGAGAAGTTTTTTCTTACTCATTTTGTTCGTCTTTTGGTTTTTTCTTCTGCTTCAGCGATGTCCCGTCGCATTCCTCCCGCCGCCCCAAGTCCGGCCAGTCCGAGGTCGAAGATCCAGCGGCCGCAGAGGAGCGGAGGCGGGAGTCTGACCGGCGTGAAGCCGCAGCCCGCCTTCGGGAAGCTGAAGAGGCCGCCCGGGAGGCCGCCCGGGTTCGCCAAGCGGAGGAGGCTGCTCGGGAGGAGGCCGCCCGGGCTCGCCAAGCCGAAGAAGCTGCCCAGGAGGAGGCCGCCCGGGCTCGCCAGGCTGAAGCGGCAGCTGCTGCTGGCGCGTCACTCGGGCCCACTCCCTCGGGCGGCCCTCAGGCGACATCCTCCGAGGCGGCTCGCGACGAGGCCGCGGGCGCGTCGCCTGGGCCTACCTCACCGGGCGACGCCCAGGACCAAACGGGCCCGGGGGACATCCCCGAGCCCAGCGCATCCTCCGGGGGGCCAAGCCGCGTCGCCTTTTCTCCAAGGCGGCTTTTCTCCTCTTCTCTCGTCGCCCCAGTGAGCGCCGAGCCCATTATGCAGGCCTTGGCCGCCGCAAACACCGCGGTGCTAGATGGATTTAGCGCCCAGGTGGAGGCCTTGCGAGCGGAACGAGCGGAGCTCGAGGCCGCATGGGCGCGTGTCGAGGAGGGGCGGCGCTCGGTGGACGCCATGGTGGAGGTGGGCCGTAAGGCCCACCGCCGCCACATCTCGGAGCTCGAAGCCCGCAAGGCGGCGCTGGCGGAGATCGCCCGGGAGGTGGAGGAGGAGCGAGAGGCCGCCCTCGTCGCC